CCGCGGGGACTTGACCCGGGGCACCCGGCGCCCGCCGCCCGCTCCCGGCCTCCTTTGCTCGCGCGCTCTGTAGGCTCGGGCTCCGCGCGGGGAGCGCGGAATGTGGAGGAAGGAGGTAAAACTTCGGTTGGGAGACTTGTCTGAGAGACGTTTTCGGGGCACGCGAAGGGAAAAGTGACTAGCCCCCGGCGGGGCGGGGCGGCCTTACCAGCGGAACCACCGGCCAGGATCTGCCGAGAAGCTTCGTTCGCGAAGCCGACAGCGGGCTTGGCCGACATCTTCGACACCGAGCACCACGGAGTGGGCTGAGACGAGTGGGCGAGCTCGCGGGCCTGAGTGCCAGCCTGTAGAGCCTCTCCTGGGCGAGAGAGCCGGGGCTGCCTGTGCCCCTGGGCCGAGTGGCTCCCTGTGGGGCGACAATCCGGCGACTGCTCGCAGGCGGCGGGAGGTTTGGGCAACAGACGCGCCGCGTGAACGCCGGCGGGTCGGGACCTGCCTGTCGCGCTCCTTTGGGGGCTCCCTCTCGCCTCCGCCTGGTTCCCTGGGCTCCAGGAGGGTCCCTGGAAGAGAAGAGGCTCGCGGGTGGGGTTGGATTGGTCGACCGCAGGGGGACGGTTTTGTTTCCTAGATTGGCGCCTATCGGGAACCTTCTGCAGAGTTTGGCAAGCTGGACGCTCTGCCTCTGATAATGCAAGTTAAAAAGTGACCCTGGCCTCGAACTCCAGCAGTATGGCTGGGGCGGCCCTTGCCCTCTGGAAAGCCAGAGCACAGTCCAGCTCTAAAGAAGAGACAGGTGAATAAACTCCTTGGAGTTCTGCAATTGTGGGCTGTAGCAACTAAGTAAAAACAAATCCACTTTACAGTTATCTTACAGTTGAGCTAATGTAGTCTAAGAAATGGTTTGGGCTAAAGGGAATTTATCGCATACCTCATCTACTTGGGATTTATTTACTGAATGACCAAAAAAAAAAGAAGAAGAAAAAAAAAAAAGAAAAAGAAGGCCTTATTAGAAATAAATCTCTTCTGTACCCCTGGTCAGTGGTTCACAAAGTATGAACTTAGAATCCAGAGGTATCAGCCTAATGGGTGAGTTTGTAGGAAAAGAAAATTCATGGTCCAGCCCTAACCTACTGAATCAGAATCTCTGGATATAGGGCTCAGAAACCTGTGTTTTAATACATTCTCCAGTGATTGTTATGAATGTTAAAGTTTGCGAACCACTGACCTAAATAATCAAGGAACATTAATGTATTACTGGTATATTCTCTCTGTAAAATGTTTAATTGTTCATGCTAGCCCTTTAGGATAGTTGGAAAAACAAAAATACTACTTATACCATCTTTAAACCACAAATTGCAAATGCTGTGTAGAAGAGACGCAAACTTTTGAAATTTTAGAAAAATACCTGTCACATCCTTAGCAGGCAAGAAATGATAGGAGTAAAAGGGAGAATGAGAGGCTTTGGAACCCTTATTGCCATATTATTTATTAAACATGGTATCTAAAACTAAATATATTGTTTGAACCATATAAAATTGCCATTTTTGAAGTTCAAAAACCATTGAATATCAGCGACGTATAATATCAACAAAAACAATAATCAATAATAAGACTAGAAAAGAGTTTTATTTGAGCCAAACTGAGGACTAGCCCAGATGTCAGCTTCCCAGATTACTCTGAGAGGCTGCTCCAGAGAAGCAGAGTTTTCAGCACAGTTTTATGTCTTGTCAGAACGAAGAAACATTAACAAGTCCTTTTACATTTCCTCAGAGTTTTTAAACAGAACAGACTGGCATGTACACAGCGAGTCAGTATGGCCTTGGTACCTGGGAAGGGAGTCCTATCACCGTGAAAGGAGTTACCAGCATTGGAGTCCCAGGAAGAGAGGCATTTAATCTTTATTTTTAACATGGACATTCTTTACTTCTGCCCGGTGTGCTCTTTTCTTTAATAATTAAAGTAGATGTACAATGTATGTTTGATAGGCCACAAACAGGCTTAGTTAGCATAAAATTCTAGTTAACTCACGTATAAGCCAGAATGACTCCTCTGTATCTTAAGATGTGAACATTTCTTTTGTTAGTAATAATGTTCAGCTTAATATATATGGTTACCAATTCAATGTACCAAAGACAATAGTTGTTTTTAAACTTTATTCTTAGTTCTTAGCCTGAGCTATTTAAAAGCTGGTAATAATGATATCTGACTGGCAGAAATATTTAAAGTGAGGAATTGGAGAGACTTGCTACTTACGTGATCATAAACACAAAAACAAAGTTTTTCACATTTGATTAAAATTACTAAGTTTGAATGTTTACCAAGAAATAGTTTTCAGAAATTTTTGCTATTTAGAATAAAAGCTTTCAGACAATGTTTCAACCTTTTGCTAATTAAATATGAGGTCTTGAGTGCAGTATAGACTCACTTATTCATTCAACAAATATTAAGAACCTATTATACACTAAAAAACTAAAATCAGAGTTTCAGAACTCATAGAAAATATTTCCCTCATTTTCTGCTGAGGAAGCTAAGCTTCCCAAAGTCACACCATAAGTTAATGGTATAGCTAGTATTCAATCCAGGATTTTCTCTTTTAATAGCCATGGGGTTGTAGATTTAAATATTAACCACAGGCCAAACTACATTCTGTCACACAGAAACCTAAAATAATTAAATGTCCCCCCAAGTTAATTTAATTTACTCATATATTAAGTAAAGAATTTTTTAAAGTTAAAGAAATGTGTTATATTATTAAATACTATTAAACTCCAAGGCGCACACTGAACCAGATTCTACATTCGTTCATTGAGAGTTTAATAAGTGTCAGCACTATGCGTTGGCAGTGTTAACAAACTCCCTCCTGGAGCATATAATCTAATGGAGGAGATTGTACCATGTTGCAATGTAAGTAAATTTTTGCCTTCCCTAGATTATTTCAGGAAATACAATAATACTCACAGGTCAAGATTTAAAGACAGCCTTTTGACATCATCCATTATTTCATGAATATCTTTATCTCTGAATATTTAACCTGAGAAAGTGGGTGCAAGTTTGTGGTCTCCCTAAGAACTCATTCTCTCAGGATCCCTACTGACTCAGTCAGAAGACTCTCCCAGGCATCTTTCCAAATACCCTGTTAGAAAATTGCTACCCCTCTTTAACCTCTCTGGACTAGAACATATTTCTTTGAGTAAAAAAAAGCAAGGCTTGATATTACATGTAATCTAGCCTTATACCTCTAGTTTAGTTGAGGAGATAGAGCCTAGTTTTAAGAATACTCTGGAGCTTTGAAATCAGCCAGTGTCAGTCTACGGTCAACAAGTATCCACTGTGCTAAGAGCTGTGATAATGGGACATAACTCTTATCTACAGCCAAATTTGCCCAAGGCCAGTGTTGGAATGCTGGGAGGTTTAGCACTGGGAAATTTTATTTGACCTACTATTTTAAATTCTGTATACATAATGCATCACTTTGCCGTTTCTACTATTATTTTATATAATGCTGTAATGTCCTGCCTGATATTAGAGCAAAACTGCTAAGGTATCAAGCTTATATTTTTAAAGTACTGATTTATGTAGCTGATCTTGGTTGAAAATTACATAATTATTGATTTATCAGTTTGCAAAGTGACTAGAAACTAAATCTTTGGGAAACTTAAAATACTGAATTTAAGTATCTGACAATTTCTTCAGTGTCTTTTTGGAATAAAGTTTTTGTATTGGGCCATTGGATCAGCTGTTCAAGACCAAAATAATAGTGGCTTAAACAAGATTGAAATTTATTTCCCCCTTATGTAATAACACAATTGTAAACCACAAATAAAGCTCTGGCCAGCAGAGAGGAAGAAAGGTAAGAAGGGTAAAGAAAGCCCTGGAAATTACGTGAATCTCATTGGTTAGAACTCCTTGGCCACAGGGCTATACCTAAGCCCAAGGGAGGTTAGGAAAGGCAGCATTTTGCTGGGTGACAATGTGTCCAGAAAATATATATATACCATTATGGAAAAAAGGGAAAAACATATTAGGGAACAAGCAGCAGTGTCAACCGCAGTTTGGGAAAACATTTAGGAACAAAGAGCTATACTTTAAAATGACAGTATTTGTTCATTTTGAAAGATTGTGTGTTCCTCAAGTCTAAAGTTTATCTTCATCAGTTTCTAACTAGAAAATGCAACATAATCCCATAGTACTTGATGTACTATGAGTGGAGCCACATTTTAAAATACGATTCCCTGAAAGATACATAGCCATTGTAGGCTAGAGACTCTTTTCTTTAGATGTTAGAACACTATGTATACATACAGACAGGCAAAGGCACAAGTTGGCATACGTGGAGCCCCTCCATGGAATAAGGTGGGAAGTTGGGAAAGGTGGTCGATGGACACCAAATTAAAAACTCTTGACCAATAGAAGAGACTATAACTCTTGAACTATTGAAGAGATCTATTATTCTAGAATATTCTTAGGCAGAAGTATTAGAAGTATTAACAAAATGCTGTTTTCAAGTGAAAGATTCTTATGTGCTTTAAAATTCTGTGGGTCTGAGTGTCAGCTCTAAGTTCTCAGTGGCTTGTAACTTACAAATACCAAGTTACCATGTTGTTATTTAGGTAAGATCTCAGGTTCCAATGTATTAACATAGCATTCGTAAGTTCCAAGGGACTCTAACTGCACAGTATGAAGAAAATAATTACTTGGGAAACATTTTTCAATATATTATTGTGATATGATAAGAACAACACTTACAGGTCATTTATATCACAGAGTTCTCTTATTTGAGACATAGCTGTGAATTTAGGAGTTAAGATTTCCGAGCTGTCAACATGCAGAAATCCATGCACTTTCCTCCTGGGAGCTTCCCAGGCCTTCGCTTAGATCTAATTTTAGACCCAATTCTAAAAAGTTTGGTAGGGCGGATATCTAACATCTTGGTTCACAACAGATTAGAAAAAAATTAAGAGAATAGGGGAGATTCTAGAAAAGTGAAGAGCAATCTGCAACCTTCAGGTCATATTCAGCCTGCCTAGCAAATGGTAATAATTACAAGATTCATGTAATGCTTGCTTACGCAAGGCACTAGGCTAAGCGTTTTGTAACCCATTATCTTATTCACAGTATACCTGTGACAGAGATACTCTTATTTTCATTTTATAAATGAGAAAATTCTGGGACAGAGGTTAAGTAAATTTTGCCTGAAGTCACACTGAGTATTTGAGTTATTATTTGAACCTAAGTGTATATAATTTAGGAGGCCTCTTTCTGAATCACTACCTATACTGTTTTTATGGTCTAATTTTTATGTCAGCTTTTCTACCCCTACAGAAAAGAATCAAGACGTAAAATTATTCACAGTAAATAGCTTGTGGCATCTTTGACTTTCATAAACAATGGATTGATAAGCTGGATCAGGAACTTTATATACCTGAAGTTAGTAAAGTACTAACTTCAGTGCCATAAATTTTATTATGTGTACATGGTGTGAATTTTCTGTCTGCCAAGTCAGGGTTTCTCAACAACAGCACCACTGACATTATGGGCCAGATAATTCTTTGTTATGGGAGGTCGTCCTGTGCAATGCGGGATATTTAGCAGCATCCCTAGACTTTACCCACTAGCTTCTGGTAGCAACTCCCTCTCCAATTGTGACAACCAAAAATGTCTCCAGACATAGCCAGATGTCCCCTGCAGGGCAAAAATAGCCTCAGCTGAGAATCACTGGGTTAAGTAAAAGAGCTAATATAGTAGTGAAGCCTATTTTAACTTTCTAGAATCATGGAATGACAGACCTGGAAGAGACTTTAATCAATCTCTTCTTTGACAGTTCAGAAGGGTAAAGAGACTGGGGGCCTCAGCAACTTAGGGAAAGAGCTGGATGGAAAAGCCAGACATTTCCTGGCTTCAGAACTGATAATCTTGGCATTAATGTCTGGGACATCTCCCAAAAACTGAACTGAAGATTGTGGCTACAGCAGCCAGAGTGACCCTTTTAAAGCATATTTCAGGTACTGCTCACCTGTTCTAAGCCACCTAGTGGTCTCCTGTCATCCTGAGAATAGAATCCAATGTCCTAGCCATAGCCCAATTTGGCTTAGGGCTATCTCCCCACACTAATTTCCTAACCCTTCTCTCTTTCACCCTGCTCTGTCATACTGATTTTTTTTTTTTTGGCATTCCTCTGAACATTCCCAAGTGTGCTCCCATCTTTGCATTTGCTTTTCCCTGTGCCAGGAAAGTTCTTTTC